GCCTACACCATGAACCCAGACTTTGCCTTAGTCTTTCCAGCCTAGATCCAAATGGGACAGGTGAAATGTCTGGAACCTCCAAAGATGCCCTTATTTGCCCTGGCCCTGTACTGCCTTACTATATTGCTGGACGGACCCCCCCTTGAGAGCGGCTCCATTCCAGTTGAAATCAGTGGGCAAAAGCAGTTGTGACTTGAATTCTGTTGAATCCTACTGGCCCACTGCTTTCTACTGGAATGGAGCCACTCACCGGAGGATCCCTCCAGCAATACAGTAAGGTTTAAATGCAGGTAAGGGCAATTGCTAAAGTTGTTACGGCTACTTTCAAAAGGTGCTGGTTGCATGTTGGTCGCGTGCCTCATTCTGCAGTTGGCATGCACTTGGCATGAGTCTTGCACTTTGCAAGCCACGTCAACTTTTGTCTTTCATGCATGTAAATATCCATAATTTTGGTTCAAGAGGGATGAAGTGCAATTAATGTAGCCTTGATCAGGCTCACAGAATTAGCATATCTAGTAATACTACTCAACAGGTAATGTGGAGTATGTGCATGCACACATTTGAATAAATGCATAGGGTCCACAAACCCTGTGAGAGTGATCTGACTTCCTCTCCAATCACAGACTTTTCCACTATGCGTGTTCCACACTAACATGTGTGCACGCATAGACTTTGGAATATAACGACTACTGTGCGGAAACAAACATAAGAAAGCCCATGAGGGCACATGGCTAAACAATCCTCCCAAGCTCCCATGGGTGTGCTGTGCTTGTGCCCAAAGCAGTCAGCTGGCAGCTGAATAGAAACAGCCTACAAAATTAAAGTCTGCCCACCCAACCATTTACTCATAACACATTACTTAACACATCTCTTCCTCACAGCAGCACAGGGCAAATAATTGCCTATATAAAAACACTTAAAGATTGCAGCTCTAAAATCACAACTCATATCTGATAAAAGTCAGTAAAAACAACAAGATATGTTATTTATTTATTTATTGGATTTCTATCCCACCCATCTAGACCAAAAGTCTACTCTGGGCGGTTAAGAGCAAGAGCAAGAAGCAAAACAAAATACTTGCATTCACAAAGTCCCTTAAAATAAATTTTAGAGCTCACACTTGAAGGGCAATGATTGGGGGTGGGGACAAATTACTCTTTAACATAAGGGAATTCCATAGTCAGGGTGCTGCTGGCCCTGCCTTATGTGACAGTCCCCGAGGCCAAAGTCTTCCGGGCACCGCAAGCAGAGTCTCTCTCTCCAGCCTTAAATTTCAGGTAAGTCAGTATACTGGCAAAACAGGTCTCCAAAGAAATGGGCCTGAAGCTATTTTAGTGTGCTAATACAAGAGTCCTGAACCACTGGGTCTCTGATTTCTTTAGGCTTCAAGTTCCAGAAGCCCCAAAGGACACAAGGAAGGATCCGGGGAAGCAGAGAAATCTACCCGTGTACTCAAAACTTCGAGACACTAATACTAACACCCTGACTTGAGTCACGTCAAGTGGGTGGTTTTGTTAAGTAACATCACCTTTAACTGTTGATTTCTTCCTCCTGGTTTTCACTATGAGCAAGTTACATCCCTCTCTGTTGATGCTATTACAAAGAAAAACCTTTTAACAGTCTTAAAGAAGGCAGTGTACAGTGCAATGACAAATGAGATCTTTCAGGGCAAAAGGCATCCAGTTGTCACACAGAGCTGTTTTACTGCCAGAAGGAAATAATAATTGCAGGCTGAGCAGCTGGGGTGACTAGTCAGAAAGCTGCTTCCTCCCCTCTGGTTGCATGTAGAAGCGATACATCAATGTGGGCAGCGGGCCGCCCTCCCTGCGCTGAGGTAGCGTCTGGATATTTCATCCTTCAGATCAAGGCAGTCGGAGGGAGCTGGAGCCCAGAGACGTGGAGTAGCTGAAAGGACTGGCTGATGTACTTAAATTTATGAAATAAGAGAATAAATGCCAGGCGTAAGGCTGTATCCATGCTGGGCTGGTGCCAAAGCCATGAGACTTTAAACAGTGCTCCTCTAAATGGATTTTTCCTTGTGCAGCCTACTCTGCAAATCTTGCATGTTACGTTTGGGTAGCTCAGTGTTAAAGCACATGCTTTACATATGGAAGGTCCAAGGGTCAGGACCCAGTATAATCAGATATGGTTAAGGAGAAAAAGCCTGCCTGAAACCCTAGAGCAGTGCTTCTCACCCTGAGTCCCCAGATGTTCTTGGACTAAAACTGCCAAAAGCTTTCACCACTAGTTGTGCTGGACAGGATTTCTGAGAGTTGTAATCCAAAAACATCTGGGGACCCAAGGCTGGGAAGCACTGCCCTAGAATCAGCTAGATGGGCACAGGATTAGACTCAATATTGAGGCGGCTTCCTACATTCATGTTTGCACTATTGCCGCTTCATGTAATAAGTGGGTTAAGGGGGAGTTTTCCATCATCACCACCAGCAGAAAAAAAATCAAATTTCACAAAACTATAGACTAACTCTGTAAGTGTATCACCTATAAGGAAACCAGCATGTATTCATATTTATGGAGGCCACTTCAGATTCAAATAGCCTTGGCTTCAAGAACCATTCATTCATTCATTCATTCATTCATTCATTCATTCATTCATTCATTCATTCATTCATACATTCATTCATTCATTCATTCATTCATGTTTTATTAGATTTATACCCCACCCATCTACCCATCTAGACAGATAATCTACTCTATCTAGATGGGCAGGGAGAGAATGTATTATGCTTGTATGTTTTCCCATCCTTGTGTGCTGGCTTATGTGCAAGAGGATGAGATTCTGGGTTCTTTCAGATGGAAGAAATTTCCACCCCACCTCCCATTCAATCAGGAATAATTGAGTGGCTCATTTGAATTTGGATACAACCCTCTCATTCAAAAAGCCACCTCCCTGAAAACTACTTCTCCTAAACAAAAATATTTCCAATTCTTTAAAAACACGTAAAGAAATCTACTTTTGCACTAGTGTGTCTATTTTGCAGCGTTTTAGTTTTTGGTGGCAACTGAAATGCTTAATTGACTGGGAAACTTTGACTGCAGAAGCACCCCAGCACAAAATTATGTAATCCTCTACCCTGGAACCAGGGTGGATTTGGTTCAAATCAAATTTATCTAGACAAAAAAATACTTGGATTTTTCTAATGATTTAAATTTAAAAAGTGATTTTTTTTGAATTGAAAAAAAATTATTTAAATCATTTTGATTTTTAAGAATTATTGTATCTTCTCCAACCTGCCTGGAACAAAGTGAAATGAAAGATAAACCATGTTTTCAGGAGGAGCAAAAAGCAAAAAGCAAAAAAAAAAAAAAAAAAAAAAAGGGAACAAAAATTGTCCCTATACTA